ATGAGACATAAAACAACAACTATCTGGTTAATATGAGGCATAAAACCACTTTCTGGTTAATATGAGACATAAAGACACTATCTGGTTAATATGAGGCATAAAACCACTATCTGGTTAACATGAGACATAAAGCCACAAAGGTTAACTTTAGAGCAAATGACATGGTTAGCGCCAAAGACACCGCCCTGCAAAGGTTGTATATTGTGGTCTTCCAATAGGGTAATGGGTAGAGTGTTAGAACAGAGAGTGGTAGTCCAGGTTTCGAGACCGACATGGGCATAAATAATTTATTACACTATCTTTTGTTTATACACACATTCATTGTCATTGATATATTAACCCACTAGGGGGCACAGTCGGGACAGTCTGAAGCCTAGAAGGCACAGTAGGGACCCTCTGAAGCCATTGTATGGGACTGATAACGCCTAATAACATCCATTTCATGGACTGATAACACCAGAATCCCCTGAAATTTTGTCGGGCAGAAGCGATTAAAGTTACCTTCTAGAAGGATCTCCAATCATCACTCAGTATGATTACATGAGCTATAATCCTGTAAATATTCCCTTTGAATGAAATGCTGATTTTTAGGGAAGAAATCTGTCAAACACAAAAAATAAATAAATTAATTAATTTAAAAATAAAAAAGAACTTGTTGGTAATATATTCTTTATAAAGGAACTTTATGTGCCATAATTTTTTTAATTTATCAGAGTATCTCAATTCAAAACACTGATATTACACAAAAATAAACTGCAGAAAGTTGTTAAAACCTCTCTTCCTTCAGACATTTGTTGGATAGTGATGCTTCAGGTTAAAGTGCATGTTTATTGACGGCTGGATGATTTATTTTAGTATAAAGGCAAAACTGCAGTTTAAAACACAATTAAGTTTCATGCCATGAATGTATTTAGTAGATGTATTTTGGTTGTTTCCAACCAAATAACTGCACTTGTAAAATACAGCTAATTTAACCAGAGAGCTGAATATCTTTATATTCAACGTGTTTTATTGAGCGACACATCGCTTATATTTTTGGTCTTAATTTTCATTCAAGTTGGTATTAAAAAGGTCTTAAAAAGTCTTAAATTTGACTTGCTAAAACCTGCAGACACCCTGGGTTTAGTTTGACTTAAGCTACTTTCAGCAAAATCTTTAAGCAATAAGCATTATCTAGTGTCAATATTATTCCCATGTTCAACAGAGTTATTAGCAAAGTTTGCACCATTAATATCTAGGGTCACAGGTTTCTGCAAGTCTTTTATTTTTTGGCCAGAAGCTAAAATTTGAAAACCATTGGTCTTAACCAGAGGTGCCCAAAGTGGGACCCGCGGGCCATAACTGGCCCTCCAAGCCATTTGATTTGGCCTGCCAGTAATTACCCTGGTTACTAGTTTTTTTATTGCCTCATCCTCTGTAGAAACTGTATTTCCATGTACAATAATTACATGCAACTGCCCAATAACTAAATAAGGGGCAGTAAATACGCAGACATTTAGAATGGATTTAAGCACACATGTAGATTTGAAAACTTTATGACTACAAATACAAATATTTTATCCACTTATGAAATATCACAAGCAAGTGTACGGCCTAAAAACACAAACAAATAAAACGTGGGCCACTGCTTTAGCTCATAGCTTAATCATAAAATGTAAAAAGACTTTACATAAGAGTATTTGCATTTCCTCTATTTATGATTGCATTTGGCCCACAGCCCTTGGGCAGATTTTCATTTTGGCTCTCTCAGGGAAAAAAGTTTGGGCACCCCTAGTCTAAACCTTTAAACATGTGCATTTAATAACAACAAAGTCACTTTTTAATATCACAACGTACACACAACATTTGAATAATTATGGATGGAATGCCTTGGCCACACCTGTGGCTCCATATTTGTAAAACCTCCTGAGTGCCTAGCAAAGTGATTTTTTAAAACTTTTTCTTGTTGCAGTTGTAAAGTTTGTGGGCCTAATAAAAGTCTCACACGTGAGACCACCAGGAAAAACAGGATTGTGCAACATTTTATGGGTTTGCCCTCCAGGAGAGCAGTTTTTCAGCAGGCAGGTGCCGACACCGAGTCCAGCAAAAAAATAATAAATATGTGTTGTTTTCTCCTTCATTCCTGTTTGTTGTCCTCCAAAACCTGCTTCCTGAAGCCCTGCCGGCTGCCGCATTAACATGACGTCGAGTCATCGACAGGGTGAACCCCATAGAAATGAATAGCAGAGGTCAGCTGTGGGGCGGTGACAAACTGCGCTCCAGGCCACTTTATTCTTTTGCATTGGGGACTTACTGCGCATGTCCAAAATCTTACAATGACTTGTCTACGGCAGAGATTCTTAACCTATGGGCCACCTTGAGGGCCTCAAAAGAACAACAGTTTTTAACTTTGGGCCGCAGAGGGCCGTGGGACAGCATTGATTTTGAATAAGGTGCAATACACTTTCTCACCACTAGTAGCAGTAGTGCACCATTCAGATGTTTATATATACAGGACATATACTATATGTTTATATATGAGAACTGCATGTAGCAGCACTAACCTGTTCAACAACAAACTGCAAACTGGAGCAAAGAGAATATCTCTCACACTTTTGCTCCGATGTTTTTGTTCTGAGAATGTATTTAAAAACAAAAACATGCCATAAATAGTCTTAAAGTTCCAAGAAGTGCTTTTATGACTCGTGTATCACCTCAGCAGGCAGAGAAACCAAACCTCTGCCAGGACAAGTCCGAGCTGCTCCACCCTTTGTATTTCCATGCAAAAACAGTCTTTCTTTTTTTTCATTCTTGTACAATTAAAACTGACTCGGTACAAAGTTATGTTAGGTCAACTCACAGAAAGTTAAAACCTGTCTTTCAACACGGTGCTGTGCACGTGGCTTTGAAAGGCAACAATGAGGCATATAAAAGGAAAGAAAGATTATTTTAGGATTAGAAAGCCTGTGAAACCACTGGTTTGGTCTGTGTCATGTAAACCACAGGACCAGTTTAGCTCTAGTCTCAGGA